TACCTCTCCATTTCGATAAAGATGTACGCTTACTAGTGCAAGCTAAAAGTGTGCGCAAAATATCGGAATTTATTAGAGTACTTTCTTAATTCGATAATGATGATTATGTGAGTAATTGTAACGCCTCTAAAGAACATACGAATGAACACCAAGTTAATAGTACGTCGATCAATCCCACGACTCAAAAACATCAAAATAAACGGCGAGAACACAAGCCTAAAGCTTCCCTTGAGGAAATCAGTGAAGACATAGTGCAACAACTTAAAAACACTGCGTCCTCGGGAAATGAGTAAGCGTTGCTTCTCGCAACTAGGATAAAAAGAAAAAATTTCAGCGAGTAGCAACGGTAAAAAATTACAATTTAAGTAAAGATCCGATAGAAAGGATTACTATGTACTATATTTAATAATCCTTAGAATGAGATTAGGACTGAACTCGAAAGTAACGAAGACAACACGTATATTAGGAAATGTCCAGAAATTAATATAATTGTAGAGGGTATTTCGGTTGTTGCGTTGCTTGATTCGGGTAGCGAGATTTCAGCAATTTCCGACGAATTTTACAATCAAAATACATCAATCTTTAAGCAAAAACCAACCTTGCCTATTAGTGGACATGTAATTAAAGTGGCTACTAGACAAAAAACGGTAAAGTTGAAAAACAAATTTATTTGAACGTAAGATTAAGTGATCTTTACGTAGACATAACCTTTCTCATTATTCCCCATTTAGTAAAAGATTGTATCATTGTTTATGATACTATGAAAAATAGAAGGATGAAACTTAATACTGAGTAGGAGAGTGTAACTTTTCAAATAAACAATTAGTGGGCTATTTGAAATATAGTGAAACTTCTTTGGATGAGAAAACGTATCAGAGCTTGTCAATTTGGCATGAGTATGACCAGAATCTTGGCGAAGATGCATCCCTGTTCTGAAATCTAACCCAAAATCACCTAGACGTAGGCGTCGCAAACGACGACGATACGAATTAACGTGGACGGAGATTAACGAAAAAATTAGCGTATGCTCAAGCTTAACTGAAAGTCAGAAAAATGAATTGGCCGTGTTGGTATATGAATTTAAAGATGTGTTCCACAAAAAGCCCGGACTATTGAAAATTTACACTCATAAGTTAGTACTCCAGGATGAAAAACCTTACTTTTCGAAACAGTATCCGGTGCCTTTAAAACATCGCGAAAACGTGAGAACTGCAATCGAAGAAATGTTGAGAGATGGTATCATACGTAGGTCAAAAAGCAATTTTATAAATCCAGTTGTCATCAGCGTAAAGAAGGATGGATCTGTTCGGTTCTGCCTAGACGCTAGACAATTGAACAAAAAACTGGTAAAATATTATGAAACTCCATTACTTATATAAGACATCTTTCAGCAATGTTTCTTCATTCATGTTTTGGAATTAACTATATGTCTAGTTTTGATTTGACTAGTAGTTTTTGGCAAGTCCCACTAGACGAAGAGTAAGAAGTATACTGCCTTTATAATTGAAGGAAATTCATTATAAAAGTGCTTTATTTTATAAAAATAAAACATTTACATTACCTTTCAACTTCCGCAAGCTTATTCACTCTGAGATCTCATCGACATAAATAACATACCCTTTAAGTAGTATCGCTTGAACTAACTTATCACATAATTGCAGATAACGATTCTATTACACGTACGATCCTCGACCTTTTTATAATACACCATACCACGGTTGTTTAGGAATTTTCTTACTCTCTCTCCTTTCATCTTATTCCATGATTTAATAAAACTTCTAATTCCTTTTTTCTCTTCTTATAAAACGCAAAACACTCTTTCATGATCGGTTTATAGACTTGACACATCTGCCCTCAACAAAACTATACTACTTGAACTCTCCTAATATCATGACTTTCTTTCCTCTTTTATCGCGATTCTATCCTCAGTAGTCACCTTCGAGCGTGCTTTCAATTTAACTGCACTATCCTCTTTTGACGAGCTTGCTCCCATATGTGTAATAAATATCTTATTGAAGAAAAAACCAAGGGATCCAGAGAAAATTTATTCACATATGCGTGCACGAAATGCTGCTTTCAAGAGCGCCAAGAAATCTGGAAATCCATCTGCTTTCCTCCATTATAAAACCCTAAGAGCTTCAATATTTAACCAACTTGATACCACAAAAAATGACTATACGAGGGTGTTCCGATAAGTATTTAGTCTCATCGCCCGATGGCGCCACTCTCGCAAAAGAAATATTCTATCACGTAGTACAACCTTATCGATGGTTACTGTCAAGATTTCAGCCGGATCGGAGTTGTAGTTTATTTTTGAGAGCGTGTGAAAGCAAGTGTGTCCGTTGATTTTTGAAAAATGAAAAAAGAGTAGTAGTAGTGATTCGATTCTTGTTTTTGAAAGGGAAATCGCGCAGCGAAATCAAAAAGCGCGTGGATACTGTGTACGGTGACTCTTCTCCTTCGATGGCAACCGTCAAAAATTGGTTTAACGAGTTTCAACGTGGTCGCACGTCGATTTTTGAAGAGCCACGTCCAGATGCTCCGAAAACGGCTTCCACGGAGGATAACGTGACAAAAATTCACGATCGCGTATTGGCAGATCGATGATTGACGATGCGCGAGATAGCTAAGATCGTAGGCATCTCAAAGAACCGCGTGGGTTATGTCCTGCATGAAATTTTGGGCATGAGAAAGCTGTTGGCGCGATGGGTGTCGCGTTTGCTCACTCCGGACAATAAGCGCAACCGTAAGACAACTTTAGAGCAATGTCTGACGCTGTTAAAGCGCAATCCGAAGGAGTTTCTGCGTCGTTTCGTGACAGTCGACGAAACATGGATCCACTTGTATATACCAGAGACCAAGGAACAGTCGAAACAGTGGACTTTACCCGGCGAATGTGCTCCGAAGAAGGCGAAGACTGCCCCATCGGCTGGAAAGGTGATGGCCATCGTTTTCTGGGATTCACAAGGTGTGATCTTCATCGACTACCTAGAGAGGAGCAAAACGGTCACAGGACTGTACTATGCCGAATTATTGGGCCGATTCGACGTCGAATTGCAGAAAAAACGGCCCCATTTGGCGAAGAAAAAAGTACTCTTCCACCATGACAACGCACCGGCACACCTCCGCCGTCGCCATGGCCAAATTGGTCGAATTAGGCTATGGACTGCTGCCCCATTCACCGTATTCTTCAGATTTAGCCCCGTGCGACTTCTTTTTGTTTCCAAACTTGAAAAAGTCACTCGCCGGGCAGAAATTTGAGTCGATCGAGGAGGTAATCGCTAAAGAAGTTGGAGCATCGCTGGGCCAAGTGTATCGAACTAAAAGGAGACTATGTTGAAAAATAAAACGCCACTTTTCCAAAATTTTCGTTTTTCTTTTGTAGGCTAAGTACTTATCGGACCACCCTCGTATATCGTCCAGATTTCAGCAAGTTAAACAACCAAAAGCAAAATGGCGTACACTTCATGATATTGAAATCACAAACAGGTTACTACCCTTGACAATTTTATTTTTCTCAGCTGATATACTCAATGTATACTACGCATAAATCGCGAATCGATTTCCAGCATACCGTAAGAAAAGTTTAATGATATCTTTCCTTTAAAGCTTCCTTTATCGAATATCTATTTTATATTCAACGAATATCTAATAATAATATCTTCAACGAATATTTCTAACCTTTTACTTCAGAAAACCAACATCAAAAGAGGTTAAGAAGTTATCAAAAGAGTTAAAATTGATATTTTGACCTCCAAAGGCATAAACCTTGATAATTTAACTGTAAAAATCTTGGTTTTCGGTTCCCAATCTCTTGCTTCTTAATTCACTGCAATTATTAATAAATCTATTGATATCTCCACTTTTCCAAACAAGAACTCATATTCGAATTGAAAGTATCTCTTGCTTTGTTTCACAATTTCATGCTTCTTTTGATCCGTGCTAAATGTAAGCACAGCAGCACTTGAAATATAAACAACAATTAAAGCTGGCGGTTAGTCTCGCAGTATGAAACAATTCATTTGCTATCAACATTAAACAATAATCGATTATTTGATTCACCGTTACAAGGAAAATCTTCGCTATAATTATTATAATAAATCTAAATAAATTCACCATTAAAAATGAAATGTGTCAATGATAAATTTTGTAATGATGGAAAGAAGGGAAATAGTGAGAGATGGAAATTCACTTAATTTTAATTATATTTCGCAACGTTTCGTCAGCACATTTGCTGACCTCATCAGGCTGATTTCTCTCGTAGTCAAATTATTATAGGCTAAAACGAATAGCTCGTAGCACAGTCAAGTTACAATACAAGTTATAATTCACTGTATTGTAACTTGACTGTGCTACGAACTATTTGTTTTAGCCTATAATAATTTGACTACGAGAGAAATCAGCCTGAAGAGGTCAGCAAATGTGCTGACGAAACGTTGCTGAATATAATTAAAATTAAGTGAATTTCCATCTCTCATTATTTTCCTTCTTTCCATCATTACAAAATTTATCATTTAAAAAATTATAAGGGAATCAAGACAGTATGTTACGTTTAGAAATGTGTCAATATTATCGGTTGACAGTTTATCTAGGTAATTTTATGTACTCGTATGTGTGAATGTACAAGTCTGTTTTAAATAAATTTTAAAATACTGACTAGTCGTGGTCAAAACTGTACATATGTTGCCAATGAAATAGTACGAGTACAATACTATAATCACTCTTTTTCCCCCTTCCCTGTTTATATCACGCGATAGTCATTTTTTGTTCTTTCTATCTCTTTTAGTTTGGTAAAAGAATGTCGAGCGATATATGCGTTATATATCTGAACATTTTATTGCTTGAAATTTCCTAATTTTGATGCTTTTCAAATCTGTTAGGTTTAAATAAAGCGCAAATTAAATATAAGTGGAAATCCAAAGATTCTCATTCAATAACATTATTTTGATTCTTTACATTTGTAATAAATATATGTAATCATAAGTATCGATAATACTTACTCTTCTTGCTCATTATTGTGAGGACAATAATTTTCAAAATTATGGTCTCTCGACATTTGCGTTTGGATTTCTAGTAAAACTTTGTCGGAACATTCAACATTTTCTTCTACCGTTATGAAAATTTTTGTAGTTTTCTTAGTACACTGAAGTAGCTTATTATGGTAAAAACTCAACGTTTGATTAAGCATATTGCAACGAGCGGCGGCGAGTAGATCAACTTTCTGCAGACAATCAAGGGCTAATTTATCGAAATTTTCTTTACCCCTGAAAAATAGTAATAAATAATTAGAATAAAATTCAATATTGTAATTGTTATTATTGTTACTTAAAGAATTGTGTTTATTTTGAACGCTGAGAGGTACACAACGTATCTATACGTATTAGTCATAATTCTTTATACCCATGGAAACTTCACCACGTTGTAAAAAAATTATGGAATGAGAATGTATCGTGATTAGAGCTACAGTTGAGATGTAAGGTAATTATTTACACATTTCGAAACTTTTCTGAGCTGATTATTTTATATAATTAGTCTTATTGTTGTAATTTTTCTAATAATTTAAGACCATATTTAGCAAGCTTCTTCATGCAGAAACTTTATTAAATGCGTAGTAATCCCATTGAATGACAAGCTTTTCTTAAGAAAAGTGTGATTATATTCAATTTGCTATACTGTGATTATAAGTACTCTCTCCTTAGCATAAATAGCGTACAATTAGACATAATCGGTAAATTTACTATTTTAATCAAGAGTCGCGGCAGCGATCTGTGGCATGAACGTCAAAGATTCGTTTTTATGGAACATTATATATAATAATTTTATATATGAAAATGTACCATATTAATTATACATAAAGTAAATATTAACAATGATTATTCCGAGCTGTTTCGCCGTTAAGTATCTGCGTTCTCGTCGTATTCCGTACTATTGTTATGCTGGGAGTATACACTGCATTTGCCTACAATAAAGCTTGTGCTTTTTAGCGACAACGAATTGAACATAGGGAGCAATGACAAAAAAAAATCATATATTGCAACGATTGCCGAAAATCGTTTAGACTCGCGTGGGTTAATCAGCGGCTGAGCGTAACAGCCGCGATCGGTTTGAGAGTGAGAGAGAGGGCGCGTTGGGGGAAATGTCCGGGAGGGGAGAGTTAGCTAGCCAGTATGACTGTGACCTTCAGTCCGGCTGCATCATAGCGATTGAGTTCGACATCCCAACGCGTTTTATCGTTTTCTGAGTGAGATCCAGGGAGTGCAGCATATAATTAGTGAGAGTGGATCGAGAGGAGTGTTAAGTGCGCGCACTGTTAAACGTGCGCGGCTTCAGCAGTTGCTAGAGCAACCTCGGCAACATCAGCAGCAGCGAGTCAGCCCCCGCGCAGGAGCAGTCGCAGAGGCGGGTCGTCATCCAACGAGTTTAGAAGGATACGGTTGGCCACCGTATCCACTTCGATTCCGCGGTAGGTGCATAGCACTATTCATTGTAATTAGCTGGCGATCCCGCGCAGCGCGCGCGGCGAAATTATTATAAGCGTGCGAGCGAATAGTCCACGACGATCGCGAGATTCACCCTCTCTCTCCCCGATTAAATCGTCATGCGAAATAGCGTGCGAAAGTCTCTCGGCAAATCCCTCTCTTATACACGTTTTAAGTAAATAAAGTGATCAGAGATTTACACGCAACGATCTCATTGTTTTGTCTTCCCTTTGTCCGAAAGCGGTGTTATTGTTTACGTTCGATTCTAACGCGCCAGTAGTTCAGCACGAATCACATAAGCAACCTACGAAGCTGCTCGCCAACCGAGTTGTCAGCAGTGGCCGACGGAGCGCTGTTAAGCGAGCGCGCCAGCGCCCCTAGCGGAGAGATCGAGAACCCAACTTAGATCGGTAAGAGAACTCAGCGCAGGCGCACACCGGGACAAGGTGAGTTAGTGTGCTTACAGCACATAGATAACACGGCGTCGTTAGACCATACGAATAATCATATTCGATAGGGATTAGAGGTTAAACGGCAGCCTGTTACAATATATATGGGACGATCCATGTCAACCGGATCACTGCTGTGTCCAAAATTTGATGTGACCAAAAAAATCGTGCAACGACTCATTTTAAAGCTTAGGATATCTACTTTTTGATGCTGTGTGCGCCTTTGCAAAATCTAACATGGCGGCTCCAATATGGCGGCTACAAGAGACAAACTCGTAAACAAAAAATTTTATTTTTTAAATTTTTAGTAATAAATGTTAAAAAAATTAATATTTCATATTTTTTTATGAAAATCTGGCTCATTTCCTACAAAAAAGTAACAGAGACCATTTTCGCTAAAATGAAAAATAAAAAACTTTGCGATTTTTTTACTCAGAAGAAAATGACTTTGGAAAAAAAATTTAAGGAACAAAATTGTTTGAAATTCATCAAAACACAAGTGTGAATTTTTTCAAATTCCTTTGAGCGATTTTTTGCTTTTTGGATTTATCGGATTGTTTGAAAAATTAAAAAACTTCCCAAGATCTTTTACAAAAATTCATACGTAGTCTACGACTAATTCTAAGAGCTTTTTATTTTATAAGATTGTTCAGTAAAGGCGATCCTTCTTGAGTAAATCGAAAAAGTAACTTGGACCGCTAGACACCAACCAGATAACCCACGCAAGCTCAGGAGAAGCTGTTTATAAATAAAAATGTAAGAAAACTAACCCCAAGCTATTGAACCTGCGTGCCCAAGGGCAGCAATTTTTAAATTATAATGAGAGTAGATAAGCAATGTATGTTATGGGACACAAAGGAGCCGACAAAGGATGCCGCCAATGTATAAGGATACGTGTATGTTCTGGGACACAAAGGAGCCGCCCGATGAAGGTGTGAAGGTAGTGACACCTTATAATTAATGGTCAGACCCCATGGTGAGTGTCTAAAAGGGATTTGATGTACCTTTGACACCTTCCGCGTGCCAGTGAGCCCCATGCTGAGTGTTAAGGGGCATTTGATGTTGGTTTGACACCTCGCGCGCGCCGCCAATGTATAAGGATACGTGTATGTTCTGGGACAGAAAGGAGCCGCCCGATGAAGGTGTGAAGGTAGTGACACCTTTTAATCGCGATAAGGTGAGACCCCATGCCGAGTGTTGCATTTGATGTTCGTTCGACACCTCCCGCGTGCCAGTGGGCCCTTCGAGGGGGCCAGTCTCCCCCCCTCCTTCGATAGTAGGGCGCTTCACCCACCCACCCACCCACCCACCCACAGAGGTTGTTAAGGTAGGATGCTGTAGAAGTCGGTAGGGTGTTTGGTAAACTATATGCTTATGCTGGCTGAGTGAAGGACCCTCGGAGAGGGGGTAGCGTCTCTAGCTTGCTAGGAGCGTGCGCCGTATAGCCCTTGAAGAGGAGGATAGCGTCTCTAGCTTGCTAGACGCATACGCTGTATAGTGTAGATGCTGCTCTCTCTCTCTCTCGCTCTCCTTTAATAGTAGGGTATTTGGGCCCTTGGAGAGAGGGTAGCATATAGCTTGGTAAGCTATATGCTGCTCTCTCTCTCTTTCTCTAAGCAAGCGCTATAGTATTTTCATTAGATTTCGGGAACCTTTCAACCTCGATTATTATTTTATTCGAATATTAATTAATAAAACTTATAGAATTTTCGTTTAATTATTAATTTATTGTTCATTCAACTATACATTGAATATAATACAGTCTGTCTATAATCTTTATATTCAGTAGTTGACATCGCTATATTGAAATATTGAATTGAATTTTTATACGTAATATTGTCCACTTCATCAATACCTTCCATTTCAGATTGCTTCAGTCTAGCTTTTATCCAGGAAAGCAATCTTTGTGCATTTATAACGGCACATACAAAGTTAGCTGGTTTATTATAATGATATGTACATATTGTTTCTAATGGGTAAGGTAATGCGCTCATTGGCGGACATCTCATCTGGCTTTCAAGTTCTAAAATTTTTCTAAAAAAGGAAAAAAATTTTTAATTAATAATGATCTTAATTTCTAACAAAAAATAAATAAATAAAAATACTTACTTTTCAGGTAAAATTTTTTGTAACCATTGTTTCTTTGTTAATCCTTTTACATAAATATTTCTAGAATTATTTAAATGATTGTTTAGTACACGTGCTAAATTTTTATATGGAATAAGACCGGATCTCCATAATAAACCATGATGACACGTTTCTAGGAAATGATTCACTTTTCGATACTTGATAGGAAGTTGAAACCAATGATATGGTGGTTCGAAGAAAAACACAGTTGGAACAGTATCTATATCTAATGGTAGATATGCGAGTTCTTTACAAACAAAAGTCTCGTTTAAACTTTGAAAGCCTTGAAAATCTATTACGAAATCCATTTGAAAAGATGCTGAAGTTAATGTGAAATCTACTAGTTCCCAAAACCGTTATGAGAGTAGAGGCACGTGTTTATTCTATATAAAGCCTATACCTCACTATTCGAAAGTAGAGGGCGCCATAGTCACCATACCTCACCAATCGAAAGTATAGGGCGTCATAGACACTATATAGTATGGTTATAGGTAGTTTTTATTAAATTCCAACAATATATATAATTTATTTTCTTTTTTATTGAAAAGCATTGTTTACATTGATTACATAATGTCTTGTTAATTTCAAACTAATTTTTTAACATCGCCACTAATCGGGTTACATTGTACAATACGATCGTGTAATATTAAGCAATAGGCTGCAGTATCTTCAGGAAAATCAGTCCGAGTTTCAAATTCTAGGCGAACATCGACTGGCGCGCTTTTTAATGTTTCATTTTGTTCGGAGCAGTCTATAACTATTAGCGGCACTTTATTAATGAAATCTTTTTTATTGAGTAACGGCTCGTTTTCTTTACCATAATAAGCGTTTTGAAAATTAGTATACATATCGTAGAGAACAGCATACTGATTTTGATTGATATTCAAATTGAGATTTCCATACGGATAGCATTGTGAATTGAGGAATAGCTTCACATTACTAATATTACAATGATCAAAATTACTAGAATTAACACTCGCTGAACTTTTACGTTTAGTTTGAAAAGCTAAAATAACAAAGCGAGGCTTTTCCAATTGATTGGAAGTCTTAACACTCCAAACATGCTTTGATGTACGTAGTAATTTTGGATACTCATACATTTCCCAAGTACGATAACTCATTGTAATTGCACGATCTCGTCCAATCTGATTGAGTAATTTGATTTTTTCTTTGTCTACAACCATCACATATGGCATCAGCCATTCAACC